GTAACCCTCTGTCTACTGTTCAATCTTTTTTCTGGTGAATTCTGAAAATTAGTTTTCACTTGACTGCTTGACTTTACCACCTGAATTATGACTGAAAATCTCACTGCGTTATGGCATCTATGTGTTTTAATACTTAATGCCTTTGCGACGGTTCCCAATCCTAAATGTATACCCAAGTCATGACATAGAGCACTGTGTACTAGGTGGCCTCTGTCGAGATCCTTCTCTGTGTGGTGCAAGTTTCCTCTCTGAGTGAAACTCCACTAAATAAGAATTAACACGACGACAGGTAATCCCAATATCTTATAGGGCAACATTGGGATGCTTCATTCAGCGTCCTTTGAACTACCAGACAGCTGACTTCCGTAGTAACCTATTTGTGTCTCTCCCTCACTGAATAAGGTTGCAACTTTAAGAAATAGAGTGACCCTGAGTTTAATGAACCCCATCCTTCTATTTTTTTAACTCCACCCCTTTCCAATGTAACACTTGATACCTTTTCCCTCCATTTCCAATCTCCTCCCCTTCCAGTGCATCACTTGGTTCACACTCCAGGACCCAAGTGACCCTATCCTGCCTTTTCTGTTGCAACACTCACCGGTCACAGACTTTGTGTTGTCAAAGCTATACCACTTTAAAATTATATTCTGGTCCCTAGACCATAATTGCCCTTAAACAAAAGCTTCTTATTTTACCCAAACTCTATGTACACAAACTGTCTACAGCACATATCATTAGAAAGAGGTAGAACATTAATTAAAACAAGGTGACCCTGACACTTTTCAGTCAGTCTGTGTTAAAGGGGCACCACCATATTCAAGGAAAAGCATTTGATAGCCACCTTTGTTTCCCAGCACATAGACCAATGCAAGTAACAAAGTGTATCCTAATGGTCTATTGCATTTACTTATATGTGATTTCAGTATTATGGAAGTACACCACTGGCTTTTGACCTTCCATAAAGACATTTTTCTTTTCAACAACATGCGCAGGGTAGCATCTTGGAGCTGCTTTAGATTTACATGAAGATATCCAGGTATATTTGGGACTGTTGTATTATTCATCCAGCTGAGGGCGGGGAGGGAAGTTTCATCTGTTAACTGAATGCCTGACATGCAGGTGAATCATTGAGAAATTGCAGGTTAGTGTGTAAAATGAAACTCCCTCCCCCACTTGACTTGTTTTCTTAAGTTATTATATTGTATAAGGTTAAACAAATTATTTTCCCTTTTGAAGGGGAATTGTAGAACTGTGATGATGATGGTGGTGGGGGGAGGGTATATGCGCAAAATAATTTTTAATTAGCTGAATTTTACGGATGTGGAACTGGAGAGACCGGTGAGGAGTGCATTGTAGAAATCAAAGTGGAAAATAACAAAAGCATGGATAATGGTTTTGGTGGCAATTGGTGCTGGGGCGGAAATGACTGAGTCCGTCTTGGTTAGAATAATTGACACTTAATGATGGAATCCATTCTCTTACATTCCATGATACTTTTCTGAGTTTAGAAAGTAACATATCTTAAAGATGAGAGACTGCTTTTTTAGTTGTTGCTCTAGTGATATTTGAAACTAGACTTAAGCAGCAGTTTCGCAAATCCAGTCCAACCCAATAACATAGTTGCCATTTTGATATGCCCTGTTGTTGATGCTATCCTTTCACTAAGATATAAAAATGTATGCAGAACTAAATACATCAGATTTTACAATATATACCTGCTTAATTTTTATGAAGTAGCAATGTTGCTGTTCGTTAACAGCTGATGCTGTCATTAAGTATTTCCCTTGCCCTCCGCAGCAGGAGTCTGTAATAGACTCTGCCAATTGCTATCATTCAGTCCAGCAGTACTTTAAGCTGTTTTTATGGTATTTAAGAGCTGCAAATAATTCCCCACCTTTCCAAAAAAACACCTGTCCTGCCTCCTGCCAGCCATTGTATAACCACCTGTACTGCTTTGCTTATTCCTTTGATACATCAGAGCTGATTCTCTTGCATATTTACATTCAGAGATAAATATTATTGAGACCTGGTTGTAAAATAATTGCTTTCTTCCAGGAAAAACTGAAATGTGATATTTTAACTCCTTTTAGAAAATGCAACTGGCACAGGTTTTGTAATAATTCAGCTTTCTTTATATGCTTTGGATGATATTTGTTTGAGGGTAAATTTTCTTTCCTCCTGAAACTGATTTATGAAACTGCACATTTGGTTTTGATGTACTTTGCCTTTGCTTTCAGTCCAAGAAATTTCTTACCAACTTTTCTACATAGACTGTGCCACAGATTTAAATTCCTGCTCTGCTGTCTGCTGAGAATTATATTATTACTATGACTGTATAATAGAGAGTCTTTCTAAGAGCAGTACCATTCAGTGTTTGCAGCTGGCAGCATTGCACCACCTTGTGTTTTTGGTATTAAAACAAGCTGTTGCCCTTTAAGATCATTTCAAAGAATGCTTTAGCCTGTGGTAAACAGCTGTTTTTGTGAATATACAAAAAAGTTCACTGTGGTGAGAAAATTCAATTAGAAATCTACAATTTTTTTTAAAAAGGCATGATTTTACATACCTTTTTTGGTGTTTTGAATCACTGAGTTCTCTACTTTATGCTCAGGTTTACATCTGTAAAATTTGTAACTCCAGACAGCAGGCGTTTGTCTGCAATCAAGAATTATTATGACATTTTTGACTTGTGTTAAAACCATGTCAACTGCTACCACACACTCCCTCTCTCTTCCCCCTTCACTCTCCACCTCCTTTTGCCCTCTGCACAACCTCTTTCAAACTCTCTATGCTTTCTGCATAATCCTTCTCTTTGGCCTTTGCACAACTGCTTCCTTTCCCGTTTTACTCTGTGTACAAACCCTCATTTCCTCTTCCCCACCTTTCCAGTCCACTCAACAGTTTGCAACACTGTCTGCAATTTCTGCAAGTTTTGAAATATCCTTCCACTTTTAATAATAATAATCCTTACATTTTCCACTTATCCTGATGTATACTGCTGGTTTTTAAAGCTAGTGGATGGAAACTTGAAAATCTAACCCTGGTGAGGACAGTTGAGCTTGACATTTGTTGGAGACGAGAACTTGATCTTGACCTTGTGGAGTAGAATGTAACATCCTACTGTTAAGTGTTTTCAGGCTGTTCTGGCAACCTTTTCTGTCATTTTGTTTTACTACCGTGCAGCTGACGAAACTCCAGAATTCCATACAACCTGTCATCACGTTGAAACTCGAATAAAGTGTTTTTGATTGTTCACAGGCTCCTTTTTTATTACTAATTTCAGCTACTATGTTCTAATCAGAACCTACAAAGTGCCCTTTGATACTGAAAGCATAATTTGTACAGTAAACAAAGGGTTAATAATGCCAGAAACATTAACCTCCACCTATATGACATTTGCAAGTTTTTTTTTCATTTGAAGAATTGGGATCATCTAAACTGCAGAGCTCCCCACAAATCAGATGAATGGATACCTAGGCTATTTTGTCCAAAGGAGTGTTTGCGTACTGTGGAAATAACCCTTCTCTCCTCAATCCAAAACTGATGAAAATCTGTCTTGGGAAGGAGAAATGGTAAGAGGAAGAACTGAGAAAATCTAATAATTATTTGGGCTAAATCTAATAACTATTTGACTCAAATTCATGCTGTGAGCTACAAATGAGGAAAGACTCATTGCACTTTTTGAAAAACCTTTTGCATTCAGCAAAGAAAATGCTCAATGTGTCCCAATAAGTTGAAAAATGGCTGCAATTCTCTATGAGGTGTGCAGTCCAACCTACCACAGAATAATAAACAAATGTGCCCGGTAAGGAACTTACTCAGGCCAAATGGATTGAAGTTAGTCATATGGCTGAACTTTAGATGGTAAAGAGTTTCATATTTACATTTAATCATAATTTCTATCCCAACTGGGAAGAGTGTTGGTTTCCCAGCTCCTTGGGACGTCCTCCCGACATGAAAGGCGCTATACAAATGTAATTTTGTTGTTGTTGTTCCTTGTTCTTATTTTCAGAGGGTGAAAGATGGGGAGTTAATTCAGAATGTTTGTAGGTGTTTACACACAACAATTTTTAAAGAGGTTTCTCTTCATTATTTCATTAGATATCTCAATAAATGCAAATTAAAACTGAAGTGATGTACATGCTTTTTTTAAATCATTTGTATAATTTAAATGTTTTTGTAAGATACATAATTAGAAGTGACAGTTTTAGAACTGTAGAAACAGCTGAGGTGCATTAGGACTAATTATTTTTAGGAACGCTGCAGTTGGTGTCAGAAATATAGATTTGTATTGAGTGTCTTATGAAAGACCTATGCTTGCTATTGCACTGTCACTACTCAGAAATTCATTGCATGTACAAAGTATAAATCATACCAAATTGCATGAGTGAAACACGTTTTCAACACAGTGCTGTGTAGGACAAGAAATCTCTTACATTTCCCCTCGTGTCATCACAGAGAGATGCCAAGCACAAAAAAAGGGAAAATAATTTCTGGGGCACCAGTACTTTCCCCAGCTGATGTTTCTTCATATGTGAGTGACAACAGGCGATTTTGATCATATGGGCATCAGAACCAAATCAGAACCTCTCCTTATCCAATGTCCACATCTAATAAGATTTCTGTAGGAATCACAGAAAAGTGATCAAAACTGACTATCCCAAGTCTTTGATTCTGCAACTAATTTGCTATTGCTGCTCTACCAGAGATGAATTAACTTAGTACAGATTTGAGACAGGACATGGAACCTTTCTCTTCTATATTGCTTACCCACACAATGTGGTAGAATTTGACCACTGAGAAGTTAGGAGAGTGTTTGGAAAGCTATGAATCAATGGGAACCATGAATTATATAATTTATAAATTGTAACATGAGTGTTTGTCTAAATGTATGCCATTTTAGCATTTACAGCAGGGTGGTTGAGTGAATATTATCGTAAATGTTAACATTGAACTGTGTTTAATGTTTCATTGTTACTTTTAAATTATTGGTTATGAAGGTGGAAGAGTTATTGGCAGCTATGGAAAAAGTGAAACAGGAGCTGGAGATGATGAAAGCCAAACTATCCTCTACTCAGCAGTCCCTTGCAGAAAAGGAAGCCCATCTCACGAACCTACGTACTGAAAGGAGGAAACACCTCGAGGAAGTGCTTGAAATGAAGTAAGGACAATCTTTTCACTTAACTATTTCAATTATAAAATTATCTTACTCTTCATTTCCCTTTCCCGAACATTTTTGTTCTGAATGACTAATTCAACTTCACCTTATATTTAAAACTCCAAAAATATTTAGTTTTTCACCTTGATTTCAGTGAAAGTAAACCTGCACTATTTGAGATACTGGGTAACGATTTTCTCGGACTTTCTTATAAAGTAATCTGCCTTCGTACCCAACTGTCCACTTTATATAATACAGGAACATAACTAATTTTTCTCCATTCTCCAGAATGCAGAGAATAACTATGAATTGTGATTTCAAAAGATATCAGGGGGCCATTTCAATTGTATTTTATTCCCAAATGATTATCTTTAAAAAAATCTCCAAAAGGATTAGTATGTTTTAAGGTAAGTGCTTCTTTTATACTTTATATGCTCTATACCTCTTTGTTGAGATGACATCCGGTCACCAAAATACTGTTACCTAACTTGTAAGTGGAGATGCGTGGATGCTTTATAGCTGCCACTGAAGGTTTTGCTGCACTTGCAGAGGTGATATTTCAGACAACACCTTGAAAAACGGTGGGTAAAATTAGCAACGTTATTTAATCAGTAAAATTGCTGATTTTCAAGGTTTTGTGGAGAAGTTGTGAAGAGTACCTTGTAATATATGTGCGGCTGGAGCATGAGTTGTGTACTTTTGGAAGTCTATTTTCAATGCATTCAGTCAAACCCATCATTTAACCGCACACTACTTGCTGAGTGATGGGAAATGACAGTGGTGTTATGCAGCAAAATCTCATTGTTATATTGAAAAGGAAACTTTTTAGCCTGAAAATTGATTGTGCATTTCAATTTCTGAAGTGTTGTTCAATGAATGAAAGTAGCATTTCTACATACAAAATACATTTATTTTTATAAAGTGGAATGTATGAAATATTTGCAAGGCTGCTGGATTTGCTGAGTTATATGATATGGCCCATAGTAGAATTTTTCTCCTGTACTTGTATGGGACTTTATGGTGGTACAGTTTTCGTGAATACAAGCTCAGTGGTCAGTGCATCAGAAAAACAAGTTTGAAAAGGATCATATTGGAAAAAAATGAAGTATGGTGATACAAAATAGATGCAGGAATTGAGGTTCATGAGCAAGGGAAAAATAAACCATTGACAGCGAGTGATACCTTTTAATTATACAGAAATGCCAGCAGGCTTTTCCAGGATATGAGAATTCAGCAGTCTTTCTTGTGACATTGTAGTTGCCAAAGAATATTCAACTATTTGATCTTCTCAGCAGTAAACACTCATTGTAATAGTTCTTGGCATTCTCTGATTTCACTTTGAGCCAAAGAAAGCAACAAATTAATGATTTTATGAACAAAGTCATCTTTTGCAAGCTAAGAAAAGTACAGGGAGTGTTTATCATTTAACAGGTCAAATAGCAATATACTCTTATGTAGCACTTGTGTTTCAGTATGGGAAATGGGAGAATTATGATTATGTAAATAACCTTTCATTTTTTTCTAAAAAAAAATCTCTCCTTATGTGATACACTGCCCAGATGAAAAGACTACATTGGAGCCTTTGTTCCCATGCTTCCCAGCACCATTTTAGATCCCCAAATATACTTACTCGTGAGTCAGTAAGTCAGTGAGAATCCCTGTTGATTTTCTTTGTTTGGGAAGCATGTTGAGACATATTTATATATTTTTTAAAAATGTTTACTTTCCCCTGATTCATGTGTTCGTGATTGCAATCTAACCATAAAGCTAAAGGTGGTTGTTTTACACATTTTTGTTATCATATATTTTTTCAGTCAGCCAATATATGCTGAAACCCATCACCATGCTTAAGAGTATCCAAATCAAACTGAGAGATCCTTACATCCCACCTATACATGGAAATTCCATCTTCATTGGTTGTTGTTCATACAATTTAGATTTAAATAATGCTTTTCATGTTGGGAGGATGTCTTAAAGCACTTCACACAGCTGAGTGGGCACCTGATCTGGCGGAGGGGAGCCGATGAGGGCTGGGAGGAAGAAAGATAACAATAAATTGTATTTATTTTGTGCCTTTCAAGACGGGAGGACGTCTCAAGAGGCTGGACAGTGAAGGGTTTGCTGGGGGTTTCAGTCAAGAGGGGTGGAGAGCAAGGGGGGGTGGAGGTGGGAGGATGACTGAAGGCACGGTCAAAAAGAAAGGTCTTGGAAGAAATGAGAGAATGAGGCGGAGCAGCTCCAGAATGGAGTTCCAGAGGGTGAGGGCAGAAAGGCTGAGATCGAAAGTGCAGTCAAAGACTTGGTCTTAAGGGAGGTTTTAAAATTGGGGACGGTGGAGGGTCTCTGGGCTGGAATTCCAAAAGACAGAGGCAGAAAGGATAAAAATTCTCATTACTGCTGGTGCAGTGGGTCAGGTGTGGGACAGTGTTCGCTGAGCAGTGAAAGACATCAGTTAGTAGGGTTGCTAGAAGTCATAGCCGGGGTGAGTTGAGGCCTGCTATGTGATAACAATCTTGAATTTGATATGTGGGTAGATGGGGAGCTGATAGCCTGAAAGTGATTTGCTCACAGAGCCTGGTGCAAGAGAGGATACTAGTTACAGAGTTCTGGATGGTCTGTGGTTTGTATAAGGTGGGGAATCCGATGACCGGATATTAGAATAATCCAGCCTTCATGCCTTGGATGAAGGCATGAATAAGGCTCTCAAAACCCTGAGTTTTGTTGGAAAATTATATTTATGAACATAAGTGCAATTTTGCCATTTAAGAACTTCCTCAAAAAGCCTTTTATGAGCACAAATATTATTGTGGTTCTTAAAGATGGAACTTTTAGCAAGGGAAGCGATCTCATGCTTTGTTTTGTGTTTGAGTAAGATCATTTGTGAGCTCCGAGCTTTATGTTGGAAAGTAGACAACCTATTAAGTTGATGCATTAAATTCCAACTGCAATATTTGATACCTTTCCAGGGCCCTGGGCAATAGATGCGGAACGTGGGCTCCTGGAACTATATTTTTGTGAAGCATTAGGAGGTATACTTAATTATCCCCAATTGTATGTGTCAGACAACAATAAGTGCAGCAAAGGAATTTGTATTTCAAAGTTAACTTGAATAAAAACATTTTTCACATTTTTAGTCCCCCCTATTGTTAGCTTTCTACATTAAGCCACAAAGCTGTGCATCAAACTCAAGAATTTCCTCTGATTCGCTCTGTGGGGTCTGTTTTTTTTAAAAAAAGGATGAGGTTGAGCCACAGGCACAAAATACATTTATTCAAATAAGGGAACAATGGGGTTCCCTTTTTCCTCTCGTCAGTCATTTGCATGATGCTTAAAGTCACTGTGCAGAACAGTATTTTAATGCACCAATTTTTTCTTCGCTCTTTTGTTCCCTAAAGGCACCAAATCATGCTGGAGTACTGAAAGAGAATTGTATTGCTCCACAGGGAGGAACAGCCTTGCCTTTTGGCTATGGGGCACATCATCACTAAGCATGATCCTGTGTCAGTTTACTCCTATAGTTCCAGGTTTACCCAGAGGGAATCTTTGGAACTTACTTCCACCAGTTAGAGTGCATTGTTTGTTTCTTAAATTTACCTCAGTTAATTCTACCTGTATGATTCCACATGAGGTGGGGGTAATGGATAAAATCATGAATTAAAATATTTGTGGGAGAGGTGAAGAAATAATTCATTATTGAGCATTACAATCTTTCAACTCATTTTATAGGAACACGGGAATAGGAGGAGGAGGCTATTTAGCATATTGACCCGATATACTATTACTAGAAAATGGCGATCTTTTAATTTTGTTTTCCTGGCTTTTCACCATATCCCTTAATGCTCTTACTTCCCAGGTGTCGGTCTATCTCCTGTTGAAATACTCCAATCGATTCAGCATTTACAACAATAGCTTGTATTGATATAGGATAACTTCAGGAGGATCCTGGATTTACAGTTATCTTTGACAGTACAGATATGTTCTGATCTTACGTTGAACAGCTATAGTTCTAATTTTAATTTCTATCCCCATGTTTTCTATCCCTCTACCAGACCTTGTCATTTCCCTTCATTAATTTAAATCTGCTCATTGCTTAACCTTCTCAGATAAATAATAAATCCTTGCACTTGATGTAGAATCTTATCGGATTGTCAAACACTTGACAGCATTTTACTCTGAAGTGTAGTGGCTGTATTTGTTGGTGACCAAAGCACTCTATTTGTACACAGCAATTTTCCACAATGAGCCACAAATTGAATGATCAATTTTAACTGGAAGATTGGTGGCCTGAACAATGGGAGGAACTCCCTTCTCTTTTGAAACATTGCCAACGGATCTTTAATGTCCATGTGAGCGAGCAGACGGGACCTGGGTTTAATATCTCAAAAGGTGCTACCAACTGAGCTACCAGGCTGACACACTAGCAACTGCGGCAAGGCAGAGGGATAGTGGTAGAAAGCGCTGGAGGTTAGGGACAAAGTGACTCAAGGCTCAATCGCCATTGGGAGCACGGAGGGGGCAGGGTTTGTGCAGCAGGCCGATGTTAGCTCAGTTGAGCAGAGTGACCGACCAGAGAAGTAGAGTATGAGAAGATTGGAGAGGTAGCCAGGTGCTGGAGCCTGACAGGATTTATATGTGATGCCGAGAATGTTGCAATTGATAATTAATAATCCTTGCATTTGATATAGTGCTTTTCACGTCTTCTAGGTGTCTCAAAGCACTTCACAGAATAGACTGTAAAGTGAATCGACTGTATATTTGTGGGCAAAATGCAGCAGCCAATTGCGCACAGTAGTGTCCCACAAACAGTCATGGATTGAAGTGACCCAATTTATTATTGTTTTTTTTTGAGGGATTATTATCAGGCGTGTGGAGTAAGGAACTATGCCTAAGGTTTCGCCCTGCCAGGATTGAACCCAGGACTCTCGCTTGCAAGGCGAGTGCTCTGACCACTGAGCTACAGGGCTCCACGGACATAATTGTGGAGAATTGAAATGATGATTGTG